TCTCTCCCTTTCCCTCCCTCCCTCTCTCTCTCCCTCCCCCTCTCTCTCCCTCCCTCCATCTCCCTGCTGCTGAAGGGATTCCACAGTTTTTTGTTGTCATTGTTCTAATCTTCATATTGTATTATTTTCTTTCTATTGATCTGGGATGCTAAACATAATGTTTTGTATGTTACTGTTATTTAGGTTCAACATAGTTCTGGCTTGCATCTGCAGTATCAGCAGTACCAGTTGACTCCTGGTTTAACTGTTGCTACTAGTGGTGTGCAAATCCAAACAGGGGGCTCCTTGGAAGTCACTGGAGGCATACAGATTACAGGCAACAATGCTACTGCTACAAGCCCTCTTCCTTCCACGCCTATTCTGAATCCACGCCTGAATGGACTTCAGACAGTAGCAGGAACCACATTCCAATCGCAACTACTGTTGCAGTCACCCCAGATTGGTAAGTGATTCTCAAATGATGTTTTTGACAATGTGACTATCTGTCATTACTTTGTGAGTTGCATGTGGCATGAAAAGATAATAGAAATAATGAAATTGAGCAGTCCAGATTTTTAACCTTGGACTACTCAACTCAAGCTGTAACTCGGATCCATGCTGCTGGAAAGCAATAGACAATTTAATATTTGATGTTGCTACACTGCATCCAGATTCAGCAAATGTACCCCATCTGATGCTTCTTAGCAGTTAGATATCCGTACACAGGCCAGCAGATGGGTCATTCCATGCAAAAATGTAGATCTTCTACATTCAGAGTCTCTATAAGAATGAAAGTTTGGGTGGGTTGCATATTGCACCTTTATTTGCACAAGTATTTTTAATGATAATTTTTGTTTCTGTTAAGATGTCAGCAAAATTTGATAGCTTCTAGAAAAATCTTGAATGCGACGTTACTGCATATTTCATGAATTTAAAAAGGTTGTCTTCCTAGTAATTACATTTAAATTTTTTTATTTTTTTTTGTTGAATGCTAATAATAGCATGATATAAAATTGAAATTTAATGAATAATTGTACTATGTATCTTATATATGCTCTTTATTTTTTAGAATTTTTGGAAATGTTTATGTAGGGGCAAAAATGTTGAAGATTATAGGAGTTTTCACAAGTATTTGCAAGTTTTAAGAATTCATTGTTGCTGAAGAATCTTAATCTAAAATTTTAATATTGTACCTTGACGATTAGGAAGTTTGAAGGGGTTATGTCAAAAATCTGCATGGAATGACCCAGATATGAAAGATAAACTTTGTAGAATTAAAATAAAAATTCATACATTAGTCTTCTAACTACCTTGGACTCTTCTATTCAGGCTATTCAATTTTTACCGTTATCTCAAATATTAAATTTAAATGTATTTGATAACATACGCTGTACTATAGTAACTTTGCCTTCACATTTCTGGCAATATAATACATTTAATATTGATTGAATGTATATTAAAAACTTTTTTACTTCTTGCAATGGGGTGAGGATGGGGGTGTGTGGGTATGTGATTGCGTGTGTGTGTGTATAATATACCACACACATATACTCTGCAAATTATTGTTGGGAATTTTAGGGTATTTCTTAGGTGGGGCAATAACGCAAGAATATAGTCTACAATAACACTGGATGTGTAATTCAAAAAGTCATTGTAATTAGACAATTTTCTGTTAAACAGGAAAATAAATATTCCAAAATCAAGTTTAAAGAATGAACGTAAATGAGAAGCAGTGCCTGGTTTTTGTATCAATATATTATATCAAAATAGTTTTAAACCATGTGTGGTACTTAACACCTATGTATGTAGCACAGCATGCATTAATGTAATGTCGATGTCCATACTAATTGGGAATAATGGTGCTGGTGAAAATTACCTTGTTTTATAAACATCACTATGACTTAAAGTATTGCATGATTTGACTCATTTTTCTCTCTGGTTATTTCATGGAAATGACAAATTTTCTCTGTGGATTGTAAGTCTTCATGAGAATTTTCTCTGAAAAATATCTGCCACTCTGAAGTAACCACAAAACCATGGTATTTTTCTAATGATTCACAAATATTAGTATCATGTGAACAAGTAGTAGATTTTACCTTTCTTGTTGGGTTATATATTCTAAACTGTCTTTGAGTGCTTGAGAGTATGTTAATCTTGTCTCTGATGCTTCCTCATATTCATTGTGCGTATAAATGACTGAAAAACATATTCTTAGATATTGTTGTTTGTATCTTGCTCTTCTTCTTCAATTGGTTTTTGTTCGTAAGCAGATGTTGAGTTGAGCCAAATATTGCATAATTTTCAGCAAATACTAAAAAGTTCAGAAGTGTAAAATTGTGTAGATGAATTTTATATGCACAATGTGACTTCTGATATAAGATGTTTTGGAAGAATTTATATTGTCTTCCATTGTAATTTTAGTTAATTATCATCACCAGAACTGTGGGTAGCAAAATAATTTAATTTCTTGTCACGATATAAAAATGTGGACATATACTTCACTTGAAACAATTTTTCTATAAGATGTGTCAGGAAGAAAGGCTGTGATTCATTGCTATTAATCTGGACAGTTTGCAATGCATGCAGTATGTAGAATGAATTGGGTTGTAGAGTTGATGCAGTTCATTTTTGTTTATAGTTTGTATGTTGTTTCTTCAACTGTTGGTCAATATAGAAAGTGCGACTAGAAGGTGCATTTGTCTTGTTGCTGCATGTGAGGGTTGACTGTGGAGAGGAAACACACTTCCTTGAGCCAGCAGTTTTCTTCCGAGCTTTAGACTTTGGATGTGACTGTTTATTGACTGTTAGGGCTGTGTCATTTCTGAGTATATTAAAAATTGATGTGCATGAATTGCATTGATGTTTAAAATGGAAATAGTCTTGTCTTGTGACGTGCTTATTATGGTAAAGAGGTGGTTGTGTGCATCTGTGGAAAAGGAAGTTAGGTTGGGCTGCTTGTGGTAAAGAGTTGCACCCCTTGCAGCATTCTCTGGCCAACCGTTGCCTCCATCAGATGCAGTGGTGCAGCATAGCAGTGCTACCACCAGTAGCTCTACTCAGTACGTGCAGCCTTCCTGCACCGCTCACGTCCAGGTGGCAACTCAGACCACAACTGACAAGAAGGGGCCAGCACCAGTGGCTGCAGCTCCTGCCGGCACAGGGACTGGGGGAGGGAAGGGCAAGAAGCCTCGCTACCAGTTGCCTCCACGCCAGGCACCTGCCCAAGCCTCTCAGAATATCTCCCAGCAGAACTACCAGATTGATCCGAATGCAGGTTTGTGTCGTTGATGGTGGTGGGATAGTTGTTACCTTTCAAATTGAATTACAAGTAGGTATTTCTGGTACTTGTGCATAACATAATGGAGCATGTGTGTGTTCCAAAGTTTGTACTAATCTAGTAACAAAACACTCCGGGAAGCAAATTATATTTTCTTCCTTCAAATAATTATAATTTTTAATAATTATGTGAAGTACTTCTGTTTTAAAAACAAACTCCTGGAACATATTTTAAAAGTAAAGGGCTTGTTGGCAAGATCATGATAACCCACAATTTATGTCTGCTGAGAAAAATTATGAAAGGGGCTTGAGAAATCTGTGGCGAATCAATGTTTTTGATCCTCAAATGTTTTTAAAGAGAATTTTGACGAATGGAAAAAAAATTGTGCAGGTTGCCATGTTCTTGCCCTCAACCTTAAATGATAATTGGACAATTTATTTGCAAGATTCAATGAGGTGTCCTGAAAGTGACATTCATTACACACACGCACACACACACACACACACACACACACACACACACACACAAAATTTTAATTCTTATTCTCTTTTATTATTTACTTCAACTCAGATTTTAATATCATTGTTATTGAAGTGTTTTGAAATGTCAATAAAACATTAATATGAAACAAGGATTGCAGATCATTGCTAAACTAGTTCAGTTTTAAGGAAACTACAAAAAGTTGCATTGGGTGTCATTCAGGACATGTAAATAGAATTATATTTATTATTTTTTAAGTTGCTTACATCTTCAATATGCTGAAATCAGCTATCGAACCCCCCTTCCTCCCTCAAGTATTATATCCCTTTCGTATAAATTTCTTTTCAGAAATATTGTATGAAAGCAACGTATATTCTAAATTTTGCTGTCAGAAATTACTGTTTGAATGTCAGAAGTTATTGTCTTTTATTGGCCTGGATGTCTTTATTTTGATTTTACTGGAATATGAAAGCATTCAGTTGATTGCTGAAATGCATTTACCTGAATACAGTGCAAAGTTTAATGGCCATTTGTGGTCATTAAACAAATAATACATGTGGATCACCTCATGCAGTGTTAAAATCACCTGTTAATTACCTCTTAATAATTAAATTATTATAACAATGGAGTTTCAGGAGTTTTCTTAAAATCCTTTCATTGAATTTGGGTTGTTTCATTGCATCTCTTTTGTGAATAACATTTGAATTTAAATGACATAATGCAACAATCTTTACTAGAATTTTTATGGGTTGATTGTTAACATACAAAACATGTATGCACAATGGGTTCGAAGATATTGGCTGGCATTTATGATTTTCCGGTGTTTAGTCTGTCTTATTTCATAATCCTTCGCGTCAACTTAATGATATGTTTGCCTTTCAAACTTTGATGTTTGCTCAGATGGCTACGTAACAAATATTACTTTTGTTGGATCCTTTGAAATTAAACGTTCTTCTGCTTTTTATATGTATAATGATTGACTAGTGCATTAAAGAATTAGTTAAAATATTTTACACAAGCATTATATACATTTTTTTCTTGGTTTCAACTTGCAATTTGTCCATAATTTGTATAAGTAGTGATAGCTACCAGAAATTAAGTACCATACATTTTTTTCAAAATTAGTTAAAAAATTCCCAAATATTTGTTGCCAAAGTAATAATTGATTACGTAAAAAAGATATAATCATTGTCAACAATTATATTTTGTCAATGGTTAATTTTTAATTTAGCCAGCAAAATATTTGGAATCAAAAATGTTTCATTTTGTGAAAAAGTAAGAAAAGTAGTGTAATATGCTGAAGGAATTGTTATTGGTGTACAGCTTTATTTACTTCCCTCTTCATCTTTCCAGGTGTTCAGTACACTACCAGTGGCTATGGAGGCACCCAGTGTCCTCAGCAAACCCCATTCTCTTGCATGGATGTTGATTCTGAAACGGACAGTAACCATGACACTGCGTTGACCCTCGCTTGTGCAGGTGGTCATGAAGAACTGGTAGAACTGTTATTGTCTCGAGGAGCTGACATTGGTAAGACAATTTATTTCCATTTCTTAATTTTTCATTTAAAGGGTTTGGTGAACATTCATATTTATTTTTCTTGAACAGAACATAGAGACAAGAAAGGATTTACACCTCTCATACTGGCTGCAACTGCTGGCCATGAGAAAGTTGTTGAAATACTTCTTAATCATGGGGCAGACATAGAAGCGCAATCTGAAAGAACAAAAGATACACCACTGTCACTTGCCTGTTCAGGAGGGCGATATGAGGTGAGAGAAAATATCTGATAATTGACATTTAATCCTGTAGTGGGGTGAATGGAGTGCTTAAATGCAATTATTCTGTATTTAAGGTGGTAGAATTGCTGCTGACACGTGGTGCTAATAAGGAACATCGCAATGTATCTGATTATACTCCGCTGAGTTTAGCAGCATCTGGTGGTTATGTGAACATCATTAAGTTGCTGTTGGCTCATGGGGCTGAGATAAATTCACGCACAGGAAGTAAGCTAGGCATCTCACCTCTCATGTTAGCTGCCATGAACGGTCATACAGGTTTGCTTCATTATGCTCATTGTGTCTGTTTAAAATTGAAGTTAATATATTCATGCGTTTTCTACACATTTCTAATTTTCTGAATTGCAGCTGCTGTGAAATTGCTGTTGGACATGGGTAGTGACATCAATGCTCAGATTGAGACTAATCGCAACACAGCTTTGACATTAGCTTGCTTTCAAGGGAGACATGAAGTTGTCAGTCTCCTATTAGATCGCAAAGCCAATGTGGAGCACAGAGCAAAGACTGGCTTGACCCCCTTGATGGAAGCTGCAAGTGGAGGTTATGTGGAGGTAGGCAGAGTGCTCCTAGACAAAGGTGCAGATGTAAATGCACCTCCTGTGCCTTCCTCTAGGGACACAGCACTAACCATTGCTGCAGACAAGGGTCACTGCCGCTTTGTGGAGTTGCTGTTATCAAGGTCGGTGATGATTGCATTGTTTTCTAACTTTAACAATACTCTTCAATATAACTTAGTTGAATGAGGTTAATATTCAATATGGATGTATCTTCATAGGGGAGCCCAAGTAGAGGTGAAAAATAAGAAAGGCAATTCACCTCTTTGGCTAGCAGCTAATGGAGGTCATTTGAATGTAGTTGAATTATTGTACAATGCTGGAGCTGACATTGATTCCCAAGACAATAGAAAGGTGTGTTTTTATTTATTTATTGTTTTTTTAATGTTCATATCATAAACACATTCAGAAATGTTAAATTTTTGTTTTGTATAGGTGTCGTGTTTAATGGCAGCATTTCGAAAAGGCCATATGAAAGTTGTGAAATGGATGGTAAATCATGTCACTCAGTTCCCAAGTGATCAGGAAATGACAAGATATATATCTACTGTCAGTGACAAGGTATCTAGTAAATTTTCTTGTCTCCTTTTTTAATTTTCATTGAGTAAATTCATTCAATATTTGATTAATGTTTATCAGGAACTTCTGGAGAAGTGTCAAGATTGTGTAAAGATAATTAGAGCAGCCAAAGACATGCAGGCAGCAAAAGCCAATAAGAATGCTAGTATTTTACTTGAAGAATTAGATATGGAAAAAACAAGAGAAGAATCTAAAAAAGCTGCAGCTGCCAGGAGAAGAGAACGTAAGAAGAAAAAGAAATTGGAGAAGAAAGAAGAAAAGCGTAAGCTCCATGAAGAAAACAAGAAAAACGAGATAATATGTCAAGAGAATGAAGAGGCTAGTAAGAAGACAGAGGAAGAATCTGTGGAAAGAACTGAAGAACCTGAACCAGGTAATACAAATCATTTTGTTTTGCTCCTCTCTTCTGAGGAGGGGGTTTTGTATTTGAAGTGCATGCCTTTTTATTTTTCTTCTTAATCTGACAATATTCTTGTGCTAAGCAAGCCACTACTGAATATTCTCATATTTCAATCTTCCCATGATACAATTATTTTTCTTCAGAAATTTATTTGGTTCAGGAGTTCTTTGCTCCATATGGAAAAGTCTCGTGAATTATTACAGCATAATTACATATTTATATTGAACAAAGGATATGGAATATCTAGGAAAAATCCTATTTTAAATAAAACATAGTTCCCACCATTCATTGCAGCATCTCCTCTTCCTATTAACTATGCCGACAGTACTCGCAGATAAATTATACTGAAAACCCCCTTTTAAAACACAACAAATAACAATAATAGTCTATAAAAATAAAAATATTATTTATAATAATAATAATAAATTAATAATAATAGTAATAATAATAACAATAATAATAATAATAATAATAATAATAATAATAATAATAATAATAAATTTGTCTACCATCAGCTCCAACACACACAAATTGTCAATTTGAATTGTTTTTTCCTAGTAAGCACAAACATTCTCATGCCTAAACAAAACCCGTCATGGTATTTAACAAAGAATGGCATCTTTTCTACTGCTGAAGTAAAAAATGGATACATTACTGTTTCACCTCAATAGTTGTATGTTGATTTCATCTCAGTATGTTGATTTTAAACTTAGGGATGAAAGCTACTTCGGTGAATTCCCATAACTTCATACCTTTGATTTGTATTGAATGATTTGTTTGTTTTTAATTGTAGAAACAGCAGAAGCTCGCTGCTGCAACCCCTCACCAGGTGCTGATTCTCCTGTAAGAGGAGGAGAAGTCATGGACAAAGAAGAAGGGGACAGTGGTATAGATGCAAATAGTCAAGGTAGTTGTAGTAGCAATGATGTGAAATCCAAAGAGAAGCGCAAGGACAAGAAGAAGAAGAAGGCTGGGCCAGTACCTCCTCCACCTAGTGGCAGCAGCAGCAAAGGCAGTGATAAGGAGAGTTCTCCTCCATTGGCAAGTTCTTCTTCCCCGGATCCTGCTGTGAGCCGAGGAGCAAGTACAAGTGCTGCTAAACCCAGAGAACCTGTTGTTTCGGAAGTGAAAGAGAGACGAAGTAGAGATGTTGAGACTCCAGCACCAGTGGCAAGTGTATCCAACCATGAGGGATCATCCAAAGTGGGATCACGGAGTACTCAAGCACCGGAAAGAAAGCCAAAAGGACACTTGGTTTTTGAAGCTTCAAGACCACACCCTGCAGAACGGGAAGATTTTGAAGCTACAGGCAATGAATCCTATATTCCTGCTGCTAAAACAGGCAACAAGAAGATATCTTACATGTGAGTCTTAACTGCCACTTGATATATTTTAATTATTCATAACTAATGGTTTGCTGAAAATTATCAGATCTAATAAAAGGTAATTCTATAGTTGCTGAATTATTTTGGGAAAGAGTTTAAAATATTTTATTTCAATAACATGGCATACAAACCTGATTTTTTCCTTTATAATCATACTTTTGAAAGAAAAATTGAAATGAAAATGATGTTTTTGTCAATTAGTAGCTTGTTAATTGACAAATAATCATTCTTTTGAAATAATGGTGACTTGACGGCTAGTAAAATAAGTTATCATACCTGCCCGTTGTAAATGTGCCAGGTGACAGTAAATTGAATTGTGTTCATGAAATGAGAGTGAGAATAAATAGAGCTTTTTTATTAGTGTGCTTGAATTATTGATGAACAGTCATTTCAGTTACCCCCAATGTAGTAATGATAACAATAATCCCTATTATGAATTGTTTTCTACCTGTGAATACATTCTTGGGATTCACAGGTATAAATGACTGAATTCATTAAATTTTTTTCTCAACCTTTTTTTGTGATAATTTGGGCAAGTTTTTTCCTTTAATTTTTAGAATTATTGCTTTTTAAGATTAAGTTTTAAATTGGTTTTCACATATAATTCTTTTTATTTGCTGTTCAGTCTCTTTTTTAAATTTTGGACAACCACAATAATTTTTTTGCATTTTGGCTTCATGATGTATTTTTACAATTAAATTTTTATTTGCACCGAATGAGGGAGACAGAACAGTCTCCGGAATGTTGTATAAATACACAAATAAATAAAGTTATTATGGTAATGTTTTTGGAAGTGTTTATTGTGGTTATCAAAAATTAAAAAAAGGGACTGAATAACAATGAAGTAGAATGATTGGTTTTATTAATGTGTTTGGTTTTGAATTCCTTTACACTTTTCGGTATCTGGGATGTAGCCCCTTTGACTGAGTCTTCAACTTCAGGCTCAACCACCTGGCTAATTTCACCAGTCTCCCAAAACCCATCATACTAATGTCTTGTAAACTAATTTCATATATTACTTATCATACATACTTGTTTTGTGACCACAAGTTTTTAGCACATCAGTGATTGGGCTGAGTTGGAGGTAGGGGGTCCAGGTTGCTGCTGTATCTCTTTAGCAGCTGGTACTTTTCCATACTCCCACTCTGGTTACTGGGATGGGGAAATGAATTGGGTTTGAAGGTAATACATGCTGTACTGTAAATGCACATCATAACACAACACAACTGCTAATAGCCATGCCTTTATGCTGATTTGAAATCAGTGGCAATGTGGTGCTTACTTGTACACAGTGCCCCAAGCAGCTGAGCTGCCTGCGTTAGTATTTTTGTATTAGGGGTAATTTATTTTGATGTTATTTCAGGAATCATTATTGTGATGGGGAAGCAGCGTCCAGCTCTTGTACTGGGAAAAACACTATCAATTCAACAAGCCCAAAGCAAGGAGGCAAGAGAGAGGAAGGCTGGAAAGAAGTAGTTCGAAAGTAAGTGTTTCTTTGCTATTATGTTTTAAATTGTAATGTTGTGAATTGAAGAAAAATTCTGAATAATATGAAAGTGATTGAATTTTACTTTCAAATATTATGTGGAAGTTACAGTGAAAATCTGATAATGGTAATGGTGTGTGTAATTCATGTTGTATATGAATCCATAATTGTTTCATTTATAGGTTTTATATTAATTTCTGTACTGGTTAATTTGTGTGTGACAGAGTGTGTAACATGAATACTAACTACTTATTTATTCTGTGCTAAACATTTTTGTGGTGCATGTTCTTTTAATAACATTCTTAAAATAATGGAAAGGAACTCTTTTAATCAGTTTCAAAAGGTAGAAAACAACAAATTATTCAGTTTTCTGCTTTCTGAGAATGATGTTTTATTATCTTTAATCCTTTAACCACTTCGTGCCATCTGACTTTTAGTCACGCCTCTTGCATCATGCTTCTTGCTGCAGGCCCTGTTGTGAGCTCCGTTCGCTTGCACATAGATATCGTGGAAGACATCTCAGTTATCAGTGTCATAGTGATAGCCGAAAGCCTGTCTGCATGAGCAAACTCATTCAGATGACATCGCGGTTCCTCGTACGATCTCATTCATAGGTACCCAGTGATAACCTGACTGAGCGTAATAACTCATTCGGAGGCTACCACGCACAGAAATGTTTTGTGTATTAACTTGTCTAGAGCAGTCAAAGGGTTAAGGGATATTTTTGTAGTTAATCTTGGAGTTGATTCCAGTCTCAGTGAATATCGATGTATTCTGTAGTAAGTTGGGCAGTTTAGTAATTATTTTGATTTGTTCATTAAGCAGTTATTTTATGCTGTTTAAAATGGACTAACAAGCACCTTTTGTACTTATATATTAAGTTGTGGAAATAAAACAAAAATCGCATTTGCTTAAATTTATGTGTATATTTGTGACCGGCCACATAATGTGATCTACAGCACAATGACACAGACTCGTACAATGTTCTGTTATGCCTTTCATCAAAGTTGGAAAATTGATCCACAATTACATTGCTACACTTTTAGGTTTACCATTTCAAGAATGTTAATGAAAACATGCTTATTTATTTGACTCTATGTAATGCTGAAGGGCCTTCTTGAGCATTTTCTTCATTTTTAACTGTTTCTTAAAATTCAGTCACAATAACAAATTGTCTTCACTAGAAAATAGTCTTTTTGATGAGCAAGTTAAATCTTTTGCTTACACTATCACTTTTCTCTTGTTCCTGTAATCATTTTGATAATTTCAGTCTTTGTCTTCACATTTATTACTATTACTTACTTTCTGGGCCGTCTCTAAAACTAGGAGTAATCCTCTTGAGTTATTAGGGCCCCCTGAAATTTTTGAATTTTGAATTTGCTTTCTTTGTCTTTCTTCAGACACCACCTATAATATCCTTTCCTGACCAAAATTTTCTTTCTGCTGTGCTCTTGTAATTTCCCTTGTTAATAATTATTAACTTGAAATTCATATCATTTAATGTTTGGGTGATCAAGTTGATGACTCAGAACTCTCTTAGGTCTCTGCACCTCCACGAAATTTCCACTAAAATTTTCACTCATTTTCACGTTGTATTTCTGTTTCCATTGTGTCATTCATTTCATATTCTCACTTAGATGGCCCATTCAAAAATGTTTGTCTAAATAGCCTGGTTTATCCACATTGAATGCGAAAAATTGGGTCAGAAATACAATGAGGTATTATAGATATGTATGGTTTTTTAAAGAATAGAAAACCATTTTCGGAGTGTCAAGTTATTCATCGTAATTTTTCTTTATGGTGTAACTGATTTTGTGCTGGCCAAGGAATTGATAATTGTTGTGTTCATGTAGTGAGACTAAATAACATATTTATTTAATAAGCAATCAAAGAGATGTGTCCAAAATTGGGGAAATTGAAATTGAATATTACAGTCCACATTTTAATACAGATTCTTGTCTCTCTTGGACTTCTAAAATTCTCCAAACTTCTCTTCTTTTGGGAATTGCCAATTTGTTCATCTATCTATTGCAGCAGATGCATCTATCTAATGCATCACTATCCTCTCAGGTGAAGATTATGCTCAAATAGTGGTGATGGAATGATATGATGCCTTGGTATGGGTTTTTGCAATACTCTGTTGTTTTGGAATTAATGAAACAAAATCACATATAAGTTTCGTGGGTCAAGTAATGTTTGTTGAATTGTAAACTTAATATGTAATGTATTTGGACATGGCAATGAAAGTGATCTGGTTTGCATTTCTAGGCGAGAAGTGGGCAGAAGAGAGGGTGAGAGCAAATGTGAGCTGTTGTCAACCGATCGGTTAGTTTCTTTCACATTTTTTGGTATCGAATTACTATTTTACTGAGGCAGTAAAACTCGTCAAGAAAATCTATGTAAACACAGAATATTATTTTTGGCATGGTATATGGCATGTGTATTGAATCAGGTTTCTGGGAAATTGTGTACTTATAATATATTTGACAAAAACAATGTTCACATGAATACTTGTGTGTGATTGTTTTAAATTAATGAAACACTAAAGAGAATGTGTTTTGAGTTTCACTGCCTTGGATTATTTGTGTAACCATTTTGAGTGTTTATTGCTTTTCATTAATGTAAAACAAATAGAAATTAATATTGAATGTAAAATGTCATTTTACTTTTAAACTTTTACTCTCAAAGATGAAAAATCAAATTTTCACTGTAGAGTGTTGTTTTTGTGTGTGTCTTTTGATGAACACACTAATGATTCCTTTAGGTATTTGAATTCTCCATTTAGGTCCAAAAAGGTTTCTGTGCCACTTAATGCTATAAGTCGTGTGATTGGACGTGGAGGCAGCAACATCAATGCTATTCGAGGTGCAACTGGAGCACACATTGAAGTGGAGAAGCAAAGCAAGGGTCAAGGAGAACGCATTATCACCATCAAGTAAGCTAGTTTCTTTCTATGAGTGGAGAAGTATTATGTATGCATTAGAAACAAAGTTAAATTTAAGTTTGACATCACATGATCCTGCCCTGGGAGGGATTGAGAATTATAGTAACAGATGGAAATGTTTCCTCTCCTTCTTCCACAGAATACATTTTGAATAATGGTAATTATTGTCACTGGCTGTATCAGTAAGTCACAACTCTGACCTTTGTCTCCCCCCCCTTCTTTATTTCTTTTTTCTTCCTCTTCTTTTTTCTTTCTTGTTCTTCTTTCTCTTTCTGCTTTTATAATCCAAGTGCTTGTAAAATTATTTCTGGTCAGAGTTAAAAGACAACAAAACATTTTTCAAAGTGGATGTTTGAAATTGAATTGTGACATCATGCTGTGATGAAATTTCTGTTTTAGAATTTGTTTACTTTCTCTTGACACTCTTAGAAAGCTATTTTCTTTGGGTAGTTTAAGAAGCATATTCAAATTTACAATGATTTACAAATTAAAATTTCATTGCAATACTTTTGATTTTTCAGCTACTGACAACAATTCATGCTGTTATATTTCTCTTTGGTTTGGCCCTGGCTCCTTGCTACCTCTCTCCTTGATGATGTCCCTTTGCGATACCTATGATTGTAAGAGAGACCTAAGTTAAGGAATTGTATAGAATTAATCCTTAATGTGCATTATTAATGTTATTTACTGATATTTTTCTCTGAATACATCTTTTATTAACTGTTTTTCTTCTAGGGGTTCTGCTGAGGCTACAAGGCAAGCACACACTTTAATTGCAACTTTAATTAAAGATCCTGAGGTTGACATTTTGCAAATGCTGCCTAAGTCTACAAAATTATCCGTTGTTGCCTCTTCTTCATGGGATAAATCATCAAGCTCGGTAATTTAATGATTTCTTTAAACATATTATGTTATCTATGTAATACTTAAAATAATTATAGATGAATTGTTACAAATAAAATTAAAAACTTTCAGTATTAGCTGATGGATTAAGTTATTAATTATTACTTTGTATACATAGGCTTCAAAGTCAAAATCGTCCTCTGTGAAGTCTGGTGGATCATCTGGTGCACCCAGTTCCTCTCTCATGGGCCCTTCTTCATCTTTACTGACTAAATCTGTTTCTGCAGGTAAAATGATCTTAAGAAATAGTTTTCAAGTTTTGGAGCTCAGTTAACAATTTAATTGCTTAAAGTCAATTGTTATTGTCGTTCGTACTGAACAAGGGAAAGAAAGGAGGAAGCAATAAGTCATTAATAATTGTAATTTATTAACCAAACCATTTCAAAATCCATTGCCTTTATTTCAAACATCCTCCCTGTCAACATCTCAGAATTCATCAAGTTGCTACATAAAAATACATGTTACAGTAAAACCCCGTTTTTACGTTCCCACATTTTACGTTTTCCTGCCTTTTATGTAATTTTTCATTGGTCCCATCAAAAAGCCTATATTTGCAATGCTTTCTCTTCCTGCAATTTACAACTTTAATATCAAGTGCTTCCCGTCTTTTACACTTTTTTTCCCTATTTTTTTTTTAGACAAAACTGATTTTTGAATTCATTTCGGCAGACAAAATTGTGTCAGACAAAATTTTGCCAGCTGATAGAACATCATGCAAAACCTACATATCCAAATTTTGAAGTGCTTTGGAGTACTAGAATGTTTTAAAGTGCTTTGCATCAAGACCTTTCCAGTCAACTGGTGTATCATCAGCACCAGGAACGTCACATGTGTCTATCCGGATTTCTAGCATGTTTGTTCTGTCATGTCTGATGAGAGGTCATATCCGTTGGTCTCTTTGTAGTTTGAAGTGCAGAGTGACATGAATTTTTAATGTTGTACAGAAGTCAGTTCCAATGCTATTGCCAATGCAAACAAATGCTATTATAGTACACTTGATAGCACTCTATATTACACTCTGTTTTGACATTTTTTTTTATTGGACCCCATTATTATGAAAATTTAGTTTCTATTGCATAAGTGAATATCTTTGCAATAATTTTATTTGGATTATTCATACATGTGCTTGACCTCCCTCGTCTTTCCAAACCTGTCATGTAAACACCCATTTATGTCACTCTGCATGCTTTCCAAGACAATTGACACCATGCTGACAGTGTGTACGAGTAACTGCAGAAGGACCGGTGGCATGCAACTATTTGTGCTCTTCAATGGGCAATTAGGTCTTAAAAGGTCTGACTATTAATTGACCCAAAAACAATATGTGTAATACTTCCATATCACTTAAAAATGTATGTGTATAAGTTCTGAAAGGTGTTGAACAAGCTGGTAAAATTTTCTTTCAATTAGAGTATTCAGCATGGTGAGTGTTGCAGAGTTAGAAGCAAGTCATGAGACAAAATGTCTTTGAATGTGTTACGGTTTTTGTTAACTGAGATTAAATTGATCGGCATTGATTTATATGTCATTGTATTTGAATTTTTTTCCACAGTGATGGGTGCACCAGTTCCACTTCTTCCCACTCTTCGATCTGCAAGTGCCAGTAAGTTGAGTAGCCCCTTTCCACCACCTGTGACTAGGGGAACAGCTCCGCGCCTTGTAGCTGCAGGTACGCAAGTCATTCAACTTTAGTTTTAATGTTATTTACATTGTTGAGCCTAGTGATATTATATATACAGAAATGAGACTATTAATGGAACAAACTATTATGATTCTCGAAAGAGGTTCTGCTGGAAAACATCTCTTATTCCACAGAACTAAGTTTTAAAATGGACATGTAAATATATATTCTGTTTAGAAGTGTGTTACTTTGGAATGGTATTCACATGTTGTGTTAATTGTAGTTCTGTAAATAGGAAGATGAATTTTAAATTTTTTCTTCTTCGTTAATTGATGTTATCTAGTGATCTGTTGGTAGATGTTTATGTGGTGTACGCTGCATTGCTTGTTGAGCACAGTATGTATTTTGGGTTTTCTTTTTATAGCTGAAAAGAGAGCAGCTGCTGCTGCAGCTGCTCAGTTGGCTGCTGCATCCAACACGAAGACCACCATGTCTTACACAAACGCCATCATGACTGCAGGGAGAGCCACTAAGATAGTGAGCAGTACCACTACTCAAACGTTTGCTGCTAAATTGACTGAGACAACAGCCAGTATGCAGCACCCTCCTGGTGCTCCTACCCCACTGACTGGCCCAAGCAAACCACGAGGTGCGCATACTGCCTTGGGCTCTCAACCGTCTGTGGCAGTGTCGTCCACATCTCAGCCTGTGCTGCCTCAATCGCAGGCCTCCTCCACTGTGCCATCCCCTAAGCACCATCGACCTCTACCTGCCTCCTCAGCTCCTCCTAGTATCCCTGGCCAGTACCAGATGACCCCCAGTAAGGCTCCCTTCTCATCAGCAGTTGTTGCTCCTTCATCTGGGGCCTCTGGGCCATCTACTTCGAGTGTGCCTGCAACAGTCAGTTCAGCAGGTGCACCATTGTCCACTGCGAGTGCCTCCAGCCAGGGTAGGAGCAGCACACCACTGGCTCAACCTACCCAGGAGTCCCAGTCAGTAGTTGTACCTCCAGCTCCTGCCAGTACCACCATGGTGTACTCATTGTTTGATGACAATTTTACAAAGGTATGAAACCATTATCTTAAAAGTTTTTTTGTGTAGTCATAAATTAATAAATGTTCAAAAAAAATTAATCCCTGATTTTTTATTGATAGAACATATGCTAATGTATTGTAAAATTGTAATTGTTATGGAAATAGTAAATTTTGGCCTTATTCCTTTGGAAATATAGTATTGATATTGAAACTTTCTTAAATTAATGAAATAAATGAGGCATGGTGTTCTAAATATTAGTCTTAGTTGAATTTTTGATTTGCCTATGTGACTCGAGAAATAAAATAAATAAATAAATACAATAGTTTTCATATTTATAAGCACAATAATCTGCAAAGACATGGTTGCTATTGAATACAATGGAACTTATATTACAATTACTGATTTTATATTTTCATATTTACATCAAAAATGAGAAATCCTTTCTAAACTTCACTCTATTTGACATTTTCATGATTGTTCATTTCCTTTGACTTTGCATCTGCATTTTGAAGACATCATATACCCAGATATACTAATAATAACCTTGATTTTTAACATGTTGTGAACTTGCACCTCGGGACTCAGTACTTCCACAAATTGTGGGCGTTTTATTACAGTGTTGCAAACAAGTTTTCTTTTTTAAAACAAAAAATATTTTCAGAATGTTCTGACCAAAGTGAACATAGTATCTCTAAGAAGAGAGGTGTGAAAGTGAGAGCGTGAAATGAGGAGAATGCTCATACGCAGTCCTCCCCTTTCAGACATGAGATGATGAGAAATCTTGTCTGCAGTTTGCAATGTGTTAAGATTTTCATGGTAGAACTTGAATTAAGACAAGAGTTTTTGTGGGAGAAAAAATGTCAATGATAATAGTTTTATGGAGAGTGGGGGTATACAGAAATATTACTTGTTTTGCTATGTGGTATTCTCTTTATTTTCATCTGTCTTGTGATTTAGTTTGCGAAATTGCCTTATATATGAAGATAAACCAATCCAACATATTTTGAGTGTTTTGCATTGTTGTATTTGTTGTCAGTAAGCCAGTCATTAAAGTTTTTTGCTTTGGCATATGGCAGTGGAGAAAAAGCATAGAGCATTTTCACTTGAAGAGAAAATTTGAATATTTGAAGTTTATTTTTATGCCAGAAAACTTGTAGAGTTCACAACTAAAATGGGTGTTTTTGTCCTTGCTCAAGAGAATTGTAAAACAGCATGATAGATTTTAAAAGTGTTACAGTTGTGACAAATCTTTTTCCAACTTACCAAAATTAGTGAAATTTGTGCGTTGGAAGTATTGCAATCTACTCTCACAAATTGGTTCAAACAAGCAAGAACATCAAATGTAAACTAAAGAATTTTATCTGAAATTTGGGCATTGCATATTGCAAGGGTCAAAAACTTGTGCGTGTCCAAAGGGTTGCTGGATTGCTTCACGAGACATAATCATTTAATTTACAAAATTATTTAAGGAGAAAGAGTGTGTGAATCCAGTCACAGTTTGTCTGGAATCAGCAGAATCCTCAGCTGACTTAGAGCTATCAAGGAATACTTTCAATGTAAATGTGACTGGACTTTTGTTCATTCAAATATCAGTTCAACAAAACCCTGGCTATTAAAGGGGACTCCTGCCATGGTGGAGAAAATCCAAACAAAAGATTGACTGTTTTTTGCACATGTAATGCTGATAAATGTGAAAAATTATCACCTTACCATTTAAAAGTTTTGGAATCTCTGATATACAAGGGAAGCAAGATGATGCAGTAAGTCTTTATTTTGTTGTAGGTGGCTCAGCAGTCGATGTGGGGTCGTGAAAATGACAGTTCTCAGAAGGGCATGAACTTTGCTAGTGTTGCTGCTGCTGGATCCAGCACTGGATCTGGATCCACAGTTTCTTCAGCCAAGTTCCTGGACAATGCACCCCCGCAGGTACGTAATTAGTTATTGTTGCAACATGATGCTATTTCAGGAGGCTTGGAAATTTTTGGGTTTGGGTCAAACATGAGATTTCACAGTCTTTCACTTGTTCAAACAGCATTAAAGTTTGTGTGGGAGTATGGGAATTCAGTCTAATCCAAATTAATTAATATCTATACATTGTTGTAGTTAGAGTATTTGATTAAACTTTAAGTATTACCTGAAATTTTAAACTGTTTGGATTGACATTGTAACTTAATGTCCGTCCTTCATTTTACTTCACAAGTTTTGTAACGTGATCAATATTTAGTGCTTTATTTTTTTTAAAAGTTTATTACATTCTTTAACCTCTTAAGGGAGAGAAGGCTCTGGTCACACTTGAAACTGCATGTTTATACCTATAGTCTCAGAGACACAAGGCAAAGAAAAATCAACAACAAATGAACATCCTATACCCATTGAAGTAAATTCAAATGTGCAAACTTATGCTTTTACCTCAAGTTGGGGTCTTTACCTGGGCCGTCAGGGCCAGTAATTTTAATTGTACTTCAACTGGAGTGAATAAAAAAACACAATTACTAGTATTTACAGTTAGAAACTACATTTAGAATGAAGGGGTACTCTAGTAACTGATGATGATAATAATACATACAAATATCACATGTCTTCCTTGGTGATCCCTAATTGAATATCTAGGTCCCCTTTTCTATTAAACTTCTTTTACACATGATATATTTTACTAAAAATAAATTAAATGTACTATAGGAAGGAAGAAATTGTAACTAATGATATAATTTATATATACTTTAGATGTTGTGTTGAACTTTTTACAAGGGTGCAGGATGACTTGTAGAGCCTGTTCCCCAACTTTTATATAACAATTCTTCTAATTACCAGGTTAAGGGGAAAATCAGGGATTTAACATTTCTGCAGAAATAAAATGTTTTATTATACAAGTGTATGTGCCTCTTTCAAAATTTTCATGGATTCCACTCTCCTCCCTCAGGGATTCCACAATACCATCCTACGATCTTCAGTAACTACCTTAATTTTGTTCCTACTTCTTTTTAGTTGGGCTTTTGCCTTTTTATGCCTTTTCCCAGAGCTCCTACCCAGCTGCCTTTACTAGGAATTACTAAATTTAATCTTTAGACGAAGTTTTAACTATAACTATAACTGGAAAAACTATGAATAATTTTGCTTATTTCGTTTGCAGTGTTTTGTTAAAATGTATGAAATAGTAATCAAGGCTGTAAGCGATTGTGTTGTTGACATGTTTTGCAGGTGGATGCTGCAAAAGCACCTGGCTACCGAGGCAATGCTGTGTGCTCGCCTGTCTCTTCCAAGGCCAGCAATGCCAGCAGTACAACTCCTCCCTCAATGCCTCTGTCTTCTGCTGGCTCTTACCAGTCCTCGGGATACTCTTCAGAGCCCTGTGTACCCCATTCGGCTGGCCCTGTCCTCTCTGTGACCTCCAAACAACAGACATCACAGCCCAGTCATAATGCTGGGTTGCCTCCAGCTGCTTCTGGTGTTGGGGTTGTGGGGCAGCCTCCTTCGGCCCACATGGACACTGCTCCCTTGCCTTTTGGTGGGCGACCTGTGTTCCCTGGTGGAGAGCTACCTCCTCGATCTGTTGCCCACCAACATGGTATCATTGTTTCATCAGCTCAGACTGCTTTGGAGCACCCCACTCTCTACACTCCATCCTCAGGAGGCTATGGACCGGATCAGCAGGCAGCTGGAGCAGCATTGCTGAAGATGGTGAGCCAAGGGGAACACCAACAATTGCAGTCTGCACCTCCTCAGCACGGACCTCCCCAACAGCAGCCTCAACAACAACTTCAAACGCATGCCCAACAACAACAACAACAACAACAACAGCAGCAGCACTCACAACAGCAACATCAGGTGCAACATGCGCAGCAGCAGCAGCAGCAGTCACAACAGCATCATCAGCACCAGCAGCAGCAGCAGCAGCAGCAGCAGCAGGTGCAACAGCAACAGCAGGTGCATCAGCAACAGCAGCAGGCCCAACAACAGGCTCAGCAGCAACAACAGGCTCAGCAGCAACAGCAGGCTCAGCAACAGCAGCAGCAGCAACAACAACAGCAACAGCAGCAGCAGCAGCAGCAGCAACAGCAGCAGCAGGTGCAGCAGCAGCAACAGCAGGCTCAACAGCAGCAACAGCAGCAGCAAGCACAACAGCAACAAGCACAGCAACAGCAACAGCAGGCTCAGCAACAGCAGCAACCTCCTCAGCAAGTGCAGCAACAGCAGCAGCAGCAGCAGCAACAACAACAACAGCAACAACAGCAGCAGGCTCAGCACCAGATGTTGGCTTCCTTTCACCACCAACATTCCCATGCTCACCATCCTATGTATTCACAACCTCAGCAGAGCTTGGGTGTTTCCTCTTCCCCTGTCAACACTAACACCACTGTGAGCATGTCAAGGCTCAACCCTCGGGCTCCTGACTTCTCTCTCCAACACCTCTCAAACAAGTCTCAACCATCCAATATGTTCCCTGCATCAGCCAACTTCCACCAAAGGTCAAATGTCATGCCTCCGCCTCAGTCATCTTTGCAGAACTCTACTGCTGCTGGCCTGGCAACAATGCTGCCTAATATCTCCTTTCCCATTGGCAAGGCTTCCCTGGGCCCTTATCAGCACCACCAGCAGTTGCCAGCAGCTGGACCTGCTCCCACTTCCAACCTCACCGCCAACGGGCAGCGCTGGCCGCTGTACCCACCCCACCCGTACCACCCGAATGCCCATCATCCTCATGCGCAACCTGACGTCGTAGGACAAGTGGGCTATTCAGGCAACATCAATACAATTGCACATTTGGCTGGTCTGGCCACAAACCTGAATCATCCAGGCAACAACAGCCCTGCAGACCTGCTGGCAGGCTTGGAGAATGGAGGAATGGTAGGAGGAGGGAATTCCCCAGCTATGTCTCCGTCATCACCTGCTGGAAGCAATCCAAACCCTGTGGGAGAACATGGGCACCACAAGCTAGAAGACAGAAAAATTCCTCGCCCTATTGGCACAGAGAGAGCTTCATGGAAGAACTATGCCAATGTGGGTTCTGTGGCTACCACTGCAGATACAGACCCAATGGGCTGGATGCTGGGAGGTGGTGAGCCTAAGATGCCAGTGTCTGCCTGGCCTGGTGCTAATATGAGCCATGCCATGGACAGGCATCAAATCTACAGGCCAAATCCTTCTCATTATGGGAGAATTCCACCTGCAGATGACTTACCCCACATGGTGGATACCCCGTTCCAGGTATGAAGATGTTTTTTAATTTCAGACTTGTCATTTGAGTCAGTCGTTGCAGCATTGAAGTAAAAGTTTGGTGAGAAAACAAACATCAAGCATGCGCTTTGAGATTGCTGGCCAAATTCTTTGCTCCAATTATTCTGAATGAAATTTGTAATGAAAAGGAAACACTTTTCTTTATATGTATCATATGTATGATGAAGATGAGGTTATGCTTACTTGATGATTTCTCACACATTTTTTATCAATACTGTAATGATGTGGGAATAAATTGAATAATATTTCTTTCCCATTCTATATCCAGAGAAAATGCTTAGGTATACTAGACAGATGTGTAGATGTGTTATTCTTAGGTCTACAGAAGTTGTTTTAGTTTGTGTATATTAAAACTACTGAAGGTATTAACAGGATAGTTTCTAAGTTCCATTGCTATTTATAGGTGCCTAGAATAGTAACCATATTTATCAGTATTGATTAGGCAGTTTAAAACGTCGGAAACCCTTACTTTCAAATTGAATCTTATTTTATTTGAAAGGATACTTCTTCATAAAGAAATTATCTACTAAATGTATTGAATAATGATAATTTACATTGTATTAGACAAAGCTTTTATATTTGGGTTCGTATAATGTAAATAGAGCAGTTCAATCTCATATGCACAAGGAGAATGTACAAATTTGAAAGTGGATGGTAAGAAAGGCACTGTGAAGTTGATTTCTTGTGGTAATTATGTCTTGTGAGAAAGCAAGCGACATGCATGAACTTTGATATTGCTGGCCAAATTCTTTGCTCAAATAATTGTGAATGTAATTTACGATTAAAAGGGAACTTTTTTTAATACGTTATGAAGTTTTAAAACACATTTTTACTTTTTCGTATACGTATGTGTATACATACTTATATACAGATTAATATACACAGTATAGAGAAAGTAATGCTGCGGAAAATCAATTTCACGATTGCAACGGAAATTTGAATTTGGGTTGCCTGATGACGAAAAGTGTTTTTCAAAACATCTGTCATCTGTGAACAACACAAGCGCCTAAACTAATTGACTGATGGAACCCCGTTAATCTCCCTCAAATTTTCTTAAATATGCCTCCAAATTTTTTCTTTAAATTTCTTGTAAGAATAATGTGAAATGCACTTATAAAGGTGGCATATGTCCAATTTTCGCTGTTAACTCTGAATTTTTTAAAAATTGCAAAATATTGTATTTGTTTTTGGCATCTTCCTAAAATTACAAAATTGAAGACAGAAATTATCCTTTACATTTTTTTCTCCTGGTTTTCTTAGTTCTATCATTAAGGTCACACATTTTTTTTCTTTTCTTCTTTCTTTCTTTTTAATTTTAGTAGTTTTCACGCAATGTTGCATGCAATTTATGCAACATTAAAAAAGAACCAAAACAAGATTTTCTCAAAAAGTCAGCAAATTTTTCTTTAAAAGTTTTAGTAGGGATAGAGCTATATGTGCTCTGTTTGACGATATAAACACTATTTTGCTCTATTGTCTTGTTTTTTTCAAGATCTATTTATCAAGATTTCATTGCATCATTTTCTAATTTCAAAAATATTATTTTAAAAAAAATTTTCCCTGAAAATTTTGAAATGCACATGGTGACATCTGTTAGAATGTTATGAAAACAACATGAAGTTCTAATTGTATTACTGCAACATTTTGAGGTAAAAGTTTGAATTAGCTACAGATTTGTAGAGTGTGCTCATACAGGCATGCTAGGCAGATTAAGGTTCAAAAACTCAACAGTTTTTTGTAAAAATGTGCTCAAAATTCTGCCTTTTTGAGAAACACTCAAAAGCCATTTTCTCAAAATTAGCTCCAGATTTATATTTCTCAAACATTTGAACAGATAGTGCAAGTTGCACTGTTTAAGATGTCATAATATTAATTTTGGTGTATTCTGTCTTTTTTATTTTTTAATTTTTTAAATAACTCAAATATAACTTTTTGAAATACTCTCAGGCCGGTAATATGCTTATTTCCAGCGATTTGTGTACATTATTGCATTTGTGAGTGGAAATGCTTCAAATTTCACATTTACAGCAACACTTATGACATTTTCATAAAAATGGCATTAAATTTTTCAACAAAAATTTCTGTAAATGGGCAAGTTTTTCCTAATTTATAATAAAAGTACCTTGGACAGTGATAGATGGTGCTGGCAAGGGGATGTAACAAAACAGAAAAAACTAGTCCAGACCATAGGAATTAGAAAACTAACTAGTTCGAGAAAGTCTTCGCTATTCTGTACCATCACTAATTTCTTTTCTTTTTTTCCCAATAACTTTTGGGCACAGACAATTATTTCATTTGTTTCAAGAACAAGAACAACTGTTTTTATTGCCTGGTGCTTCGGATTTCATGGAAAGCAATTATATTAAATCTCTAAGGCTGGAAAAAGATTTGATCCCCTTTTCAAACATCTATTTAACTAAGTCCCATAAATTTTGTTAATAGGAATAACCCTTTGGAAACACGGAAAACAATTTTCAGACAAGAAATGTACCATTTTGTAGATTATATTTGTCAAAAAAGCAGTCATGGGACCATGCAAACTCACATAAGAGCCCCACAAGCAACCCACAATACATATTGAGATATGTTCCTCACATAAAATAGAAGTTTACATCTTTTTGGGTCTTTCATTACTGTCCTGGCCTCCCCAGAGCTTTATTTTGAATGGCCAGAATTACAGAATCTCTAATTCTTTTTAACCTTTGGGCTAAAGACAACAACAGTGAATATTTGTGTAAAATTTATTGTGAACAATACATTCTTAAAAATTTGTCTTGATACATTGAAGGATATACAATGATTTTGTTTGATTTATATCCTATCTACTCAATATGTGTTGCTGTTGGATAGAGAAAGAGCCATAAGAGGTGCATCAAACAGATACGGGAAGAAAATATAAAATTTTGAATTATATATTAGAAAAAATTAGTAGGTACATATGTGAACTGCAACAGAAGTCACGCTGTTCCTGACCTATCTTTTGTGCACTGCTTGGAAATGCCATGAGTTGTGTTTTATAGTTTGTAATCTACAAAATGAGATCTTTTTGAACCTTCTTTAACATATTTGAAAATGAAGTCCTGTGTAGCTCCACTCCGTAAAACGAGTGAATCTTGTGAATTTGAAATTAAAAAAGTTAAGTTGGGTAATTAATAGATGAAAATAACAATGCTGGCAATTTGATGTTGTTCATAAGAAGCCCTTTCACTTTTAAAACAATAATGATCAAAGTGTGAAATGTTTACATGGATCCATCTATTTAATTTTTAATATATATAATCTCAAATAGATTTTTCGTAAATTTCAAGTTATTCCATGCAACCAATACCATACTTTGCAGTGAGACACAGTACAGTTGGTTAATGTGAAATCAAGGAACTATATTGCATTCTGTGCCTTCTCTTGCAGCCTGGACATCCTGACAGCCAACATTCGTTCCACAATGGCACGACAGCCGCAGCGCTGTCCCTAATACATGGCCTGCCCATGCTGCCACACTACAACACAGGTGCAGATATGGGGGCCCCTGACAGTGTGAAAATGGAAGCACCCAGTTGGGATACAGCCTCTCGACTGGGCATGACAGACGTGCAAGAAAAGCAACATGTAAGAGACTTCCTTGCTTCACTTGGCAGTTGCAGATTCTCTTAGGTTTCACTTACCATTTGTTTTTTCCCAGTGAAAATATTACTTTTGAGCTAAAAGAAATTAGGTTGTAGAATCTGGAAGCAATGGAGCAAGTCAAACATGTAAGGAAAAAAAAAATATTCTTAAGGCCCAACATTTAGGAGACAGACCTGGGTATATAAATATTATTTATTGTGCAAAGCATTATTGATATACACCCTAAGTACTTGGTAATTGAATATTTCTATGCAGTTCATTGGGAAAATTTCTTTTACATGAATAGAGTTGATATTATGCAAGTTGTATTGTTAGGTTGAAATATTTAAAACAAGATTTGATATGAGGGAGTATTATGAAATTTACGTCCCATAGTACTCTTTTATGTAAATGTATATAACTTACTCAGTAAAGCATGTAATGCTTGTAATCTTGCAGTTCTTTATTCACAATATCTTGTAAATGTTGGGTATTTTGAAATGCAGTTACTGAGTTTCTGTGTAATAGTGAATTGCACAGTTCAAAATATGAAGCATGTGAGCTTATAAATTCAAATAATGCAAATGCATGAGTTCTGAAATGCATTTGTCAATGTAGTATGCAGATATACTGAAATAAATTATTTTATCTTCTCTTGCAGCACTGGAATGCAAAGTGGAGCCAATAGATGATTGACACTGGGCAGATATTGAATAGCAAAGACGTACTTCTAAACATAAACTTTTTTAATTAAAAAGTCCATCTGTAGCTATAAAAAGTCATGCTTTGGTCTTTACATCATTAGTGTTTTGGGATACAACCTTGGTAGCTGTCTAGATCATGTTTCCTGCAGTCTTAGATCTTATTTGGTTTTAGGTCTCTCTCATTCTTCATTTCTCCCATTCTTTTCTGCCGTTGGCTTTTACGAGTGAGCCATAAGTCTAGATAAAATGCATTCTGCTATAAGCGAGAACGCTTGTTGTGAGTTGGCTGATAAAACCTCTCCTCTGTTGATACTGATTGTTGGCACAGCGATTGAGATCGCTTGTGCAGCCATATGTGGCTGGCTAAATGTAGCTCCAAGACAACTATGTCGGATATTTAGCAAGTTAATGAATATTTACATGAATTGGTGTACATAACTATTTTGTGATCCAGGTTATAATGTAGATTTTTTTTTTTTTTTTTTTTTGGATATAAGTTCTTTGCATGCCTTTCCTTGGTTTGATAATTGCTTATGTAGTTTACAAAAAATAAAAAGAGTATCAATTCATTTGCAGTGATATTTTTTATCTTTTTATGATAGCCATGTGGTGAAATCATGTAAGCTTGTTATTATGTTGTAAAGGGGTCATCAGTTTCTATGGCATTGAAAGCAATTTAAATATAAATAATCTTTGTCAAGTTTAGCTTGGACAAATTGAGATGATATAGATAATACATATTATACTACTATTGATAGTAATTACGCTACAGTAGGTTGGCATCTGTGCCAGGGTTAAGGTGGGATAAGTTCAAGTGTTCATACTACGTAGCGATTGGAACTTTTATGTTCTCGAAGCATAATTTAAGTACCAGCAAAGATGCATAGAAGAAAAATGTATAGAAGAAGCATTCTTAAGATTACCTACTAATGATTAATGAGAAGAGTCCACTTCCAGTTCTTGCCTTGTGTTTTGTTAATCTCGTTTTGAAGGGTGTGTTGTTTTACCCATTCTTTTTTATGGTTGAGTGGTGGACCAGGGGAACCATCATCACGATTCTAAGCCAAAATGTGAGCTGAGAGGCATTATGTGGTCCTTGAGAAAGTTTATTGCCTTAAATGCACAATTAGCACTTGAAGGGATTGATAGAATCCAGTCCCGTACATGTAGGGATATTAAATGAATGGATTATGTATAATTGCTTGTACATGAAGACTTAAAATATATCTTTATGCACTGTGAAGAAACGTGTACTGTATATTAACCCAGCCAAACTAACTCATTAAGTGAAACAAATTTCCGATGTATTTATAAAATAGAGAGATTTTCATTGTCATCTATTTAGTATAAAAAAAATTATTCCAATTAAATTGATTGACATTTTCTATTAGTCTTCTCAGCTTACTGTAATTGGTTACATATCAAGAAAGCAAATATTCTACTAGTGACTTATATAAATTACATTTGCAAATAGAGAATTGTGAGAACACAGTTTTGAAATTGGGAAGTGCAGTGAATTTGATGAACAATGTGAAACATTAAAAAAAATTAGAAAACAAATAATAGCACCTAATTCCAGAAGTTGGTTATGAGGTGTGTTTGGCACACATTTCCTGAGATTACTTACTGTTTTTATGAATGCTGATAGTGTTCGAATAGGCATACCTCTTTATACTTTTTCTTGAGAATACTGGTAAAGAATGAACCACTACAAAGTTTCTTCACCATCCCAGACATCACTGACATTACAGCCATTGATAAGATCAAACCTTGTTAGCAAGGTCATGTAAAGCAACTTCAGATTGGAAGATTTTTTTAAAGAATAATTGCTACACTGAGGTGCTCATGAAAGACATGTTAATAAATGAGGGAGTTATATATCATGTTGATTATGAGAGCACTAGTATGACATGATGAGCTTAGGAGCTTTTTTGTAATTTTGAAAATAAGCTAGACCAAACTTTTGGTTGTCTCTTGGATATTTATGTTCAGTATCTCTTCAACTTTGTCATGAGCCTTTAGATCAAGCCAGAGAGTGCAGGGAATGAGATCTTGCACTGTGTAATTCAAGGGATTGAGGCTTGAACTCTGAAATTAACGTTTAAATCTTGTTTAGGTTTTGAAATAGTAGGAAACAAGAATGCTCAATATTTCTATGCCTTGGGTGGTTATTATAAACTCTCCACAATTTCAAATAGAATTGCAAATTGTATGATATGCTTTTTTTGCATTTTCAAACTGTTTAGTTTGTTTTTGGAAGACGTGTAATACATGTCAGTACTTGATCTAATTGTTCAGTCAACTGATTGGACAAATGTATATCTCTACCAAGAGTTGGTAAGAATCAATCAATAGTTCAAACCGTCTTTTTTATCAAAATCAAGGAGAATACGTACCATACTTTGCTTAGTTCTGCTATCTTTCAGTTTTCTAGGGAAATTTCTAGAATAGATCCATCAATTACAAGCATCAGAAATAATTGTTAAAGGGTAAAAATTATTGAAATGCAACAAAATTGAAAACAGTGTTTTCAGTATTTTTGTTAAAGTTTCTGTTGCTCTCATATCATATTTGGCCGATTATCAATTAAAATATAATTGTGAAGACCTGATATGATTTAGCAACTAACATACCATTCTATTGACCAGGAACATAAAATGGGAAGACAGCATGTAGATAGTAACCTCTTGGTACAAAATTACTTTGGCTGAACACATTCTTGCTGTAGTGCATAATAGTCTCGTATTTTAACCACTTTACCATGAACATGTAAGCTTTGATTTTGTGAACATTCATCTTTGTCTAATTGGTATGTTTGTTTACTTACATTCAGCATTTTGAATGTTAAAATCAACCGCATTCAGGTGAAAATTAAGAAATCTTAACATTTTGTTTTGTATAAAAGCAATGTGATAATTTTTTACACAAAACTAGCTTGCCATAATGTGTAAATGAACATTACCGTTTATGTTCGTGAATTCACTTGGAATGTAGTGTTACTTGTTTTGCTTTAACAAAAAACAATAATCACAATTTTGCTCAAAATGCTGATATAATTTTTTTTTTTACATGAGTAACTGAAATAAATGGTGACATTATTTCATGAACACTTGCCTCCATCGCTGAGGTCAGTGAATTGAGTAAAAATCTAACCAACCATTCAAAAGTGGTGGTTATGATACAGGTTTTTATGAATAGGATGTTCATAGCCCTATTTTATGTCTTGTGATCAGTGTTTCGATAGTAACACTTCTAAACTTTTTTGTGTTGAACATGATTAATTCTAGTCAAATCTGGGCACTCATAAATTTAGCCTGAAAACATGCACTAATTGAAAATATTCCCTTCTGAGAGCACTGCTCATAACTATGTTTCTTGAGATTAGTGTTTCAAATGGACCTTGTTTTACAAATTTTTACTCTTAATTACATGCTAATCTGAGGATACTTTATAAGTAACAGTAAACTTCCAAAATTAATACATTTATGGCTGAAGGTTTTTATGGCTCAGTGGAGGACTGGCAAACTTTCATTGCCCTATCTTCTCTATCCATCCCTATCTATGAATTAGCTTCAAATTGTCAAACTTTATTTTTCCGTAAAGGACAAACAGTCTTTCCAAAGTGCATTGATAATATAAATAAATGGGGAAAACCAAGCTTTTGTGGTGACCAGATAGTTGAGGACAAAAAATTTGTTTTAAGGTGGACTGGAAATGCACTCTTTAACTAAAATACATCAAGAAGTTAAAAAGAAAACAAAAAAAGAAAACGGACTTATGATGCTGAAGAAACCAGTGCATCCAGTATCAAAAAAAGGTAAGTGGTCGATTGACATTTGAATCGGACGTTGTATTTTGATGAACATAGAACTAAATGGAAATAGTTACTAAACACTTTCATCTCAAAATCAAACAAACAGTAGCTTACAGCAAAGTATAGACTGGTGTAGACTTGGTCGTACCAGGTGTAACAATCATATGAAATTATACTTTTAAAAAAATCTTTATCTTTACCTTGCCTTTTTGTGTGAGAACCACACGTTCTTGAAACAGCATGTCTGTTAATACATTTAAAATATCTCTGGAAAAATCGCGTTTTTTAGGTAAATTATCGAATCCCCCCCCAAGCATCTCAAATTACAAATGAAGTTAGGCATGACAAAACCCAGTATTCTCAAATACTAGACGTTCATTAGCTTCTTAAGGTACTTGTTCACTTCAAAATTGTTTCTCCGTGAAAAATTGGAGTTTTTAGTTTTAATAGTTTCTTATGCATTGAGATGTGTACTTTCAGGGTACCGCCTAATAAGAGCTGATCAGAAGGCCAGCGTCGCCGCACACGGT